GGGGGGGGGGGGGGGGGGGGGGGGGGGGGGGGGGGGGGGGGGGGGGGGGGGAAAAAAGGGGGGGGGGGGGGGGGGGGGGGGGGGGGGGGGGGGGGGGGGGGGGGGGGGGGGGGGGGGGGGGGGGGGGGGGGGGGGGGGGGGGGGGGGGGGGGGGGGGGGGGGGGGGGGGGGGGGGGGGGGGGGGGGGGGGGGGGGGGGGGGGGGGGGGGGGGGGGGGGGGGGGTTTTGGGGGGTTTGGGGGGGGGGGGGGGGGGGGGGGTTTTTTTTTTCCCCCTCCCCCCGGGGGGGGGGGCCCCCCCGGGGGGGGGGGGGGGGGGGGGGGGGGGGGGGGGGGGGGGGGGGGGGGGGGGGGGGGGGGGGGGGGGGTGGGGGGGGGGGGGGGGGGGGGGGGGGGGGGGGGGGGGGGGGGGGGGGGGGGGGGGGGGGGGGGGGGGGGGGGGGGGGGGGGGGGGGGGGGGGGGGGGGGGGGGGGGGGGGGGGGGGGGGGGGGGGGGGGGGGGGGGGGGGGGGGGGGGGGGGGGGGGAGGGGGGGGGGGGGGGAGGGGGGGGGGGGGGGGGGGGGGGGGGGGGGGGGGGGGGGGGGGGGGGGGCCCCCCCCCCCCCCGGGGGGAGGGGGGGGGGGGGGGGGGGGGGGGGGGGGGGGGGGGCCCCCCCCCCCCCCCCCCCCCCCCCCCCCCCCCCCCCCCCCGGGGGGGGGGGGGGGGGGGGGGGGGGTTTTTTTAAAAAAACCCCCCCCCCCACCCACCCCAACCAAACCACCCCCCCCCCCCCCCCCGGGGGGGGGGGGGGGGGGGGGGGGGGGTCCCCCCCCCCCCCCCCCCCCCCCCCGGGCGGGGGGGGGGGGGGGGGGGGTTGTTTTCCCCCCCCCCCCCCCCCCCCCCCCCTTTTTTTTTTTCCCCCCCCCCCCGGGGGGGGGGGGGGGGGGGGGGGGGGGGTGTCCCCGGGGGGGGAAAAAAAAAAACCCCCAAGAAATGAAATAAAAAAGAAAGTAATGATAATAATATTAAACAGAGGATATTAGTTTTAAATTAAAAACAAATGAGAACCCAGATTTTGCAGATGTCAATTATATATATAAATGTATGGACATATCAGACAATATGGCTTGTTAAAATAAAAAGTATCAGTTAATTACCCCACGATACAATTTTATTAGTAAGTTAATTTTTCGACATCGTATAGAGGTTGAGTAATAATTATTATTTATCGTCACGGAAGCTTATTTTTAATATGATTTAGCGAAAACCAAATTGGAGTTCGTAATATGTATGAGATATTTATTTGTCAGATAGATACGAGAGGTAACGTCCCCCACGGAATCGCACTCCAACCCGCACATAAATATTATGAGGATATTTCCAGAGTAGTTGTCGCCCGGGTGCAGAAAGAGACGCTAAACCTTTTTAGCAAATAAAGTCCCTTTTTAGGAAAAGGGAGATATACCCTGCTGCCTAGCTTCTCAACCAGGGATCTTCCTGATGGGGCCCCCGGGGGGGGGAGGAGGGGGGGGAAAAAAAAAAAAAAAAGGGGGGGGGGGTTGAGGGGGGGGGGGGAAAAAATTTTTTTTTGGGGTAAAAAAAAAAATGTTTTTTGTTGGGAAAAAAAAAAAAAAAAAAAAAAAAAAAAAAAAAGAAGGGAAAGGGGGCCATTATAGTCAATTAAGTTCAGTTTACATTTGAAAATTAAAAAAAAATACCAGCAAAGTGCTGACAGCTAACTATGTAGGGTCCTATATATAAAAAAAAAAAAAAAAAACCCACCAAAAAACAAAGAAGGAAGGGGGGGGCTTGGGGGGATTGGAAAAATAAAAAATAAAAAAATTTTTTAAAAAAAAAACCCTAGGGAAAGGGGAAAAGAAAAAGGGGGGGGGGGGGGAAAAAAAAAGGGGGGGGCGCCCCCCCCCCCCTTTTTTTTTTTTTTTTTTGGGGGGGGTTTTTTTTTTTCCCCCCCCCCCCCCCCCCCCAACCCCCCCCCCCCTTTTGGGGGGGGGGGGGGGCCCCCGGGGCTTTTCCCCCCCCATTTTTTCCAAACCCCCCCAAAGGAGGAACCCAAAAAACACGAGTTAAAAAATATTATTTTTCCCTACCATATAAACATTAATTACATAGTCAAAAAATTGGTGTCTCAAAAAAATTATACAATTGCATTAAATTTTTATTTAACTACTAGGTAACTTGTCAAACATTATTTGACTATGTTGAGGTTATTCCAGGACTAGGTATAGGTATTAAAAGTTGAGGTTTGTTTGTAGATGGGTTGAAAAAAAGTCGCATATTTTAATGCCAGACCATAAAAATATAAAAACTCGGACTGGGCTACTGTTATCACTTAGGGATGATTAATAATTTACGACCTACTCTCAAACCTATCAAATATTTAAAAAAAATCTTATCTTGACGGAGGCGTAAATAATAATTGTATAAATAAACAAACACTGTGCCACGAAAATTTGATTAAATATAAATTTTGTCAATATACACACTATTAAGGCAATTTTTTGCGTAGTTTTGCGATATTTTAAAATATGATATAAAATAATTCTTTGGATTTCGAACTATTACCCTAGTGGTGTTCTTGAGTCTTATTCAAGGTCTTATAGCTATAAAGCAGTGATCAGGCAAATGTGGCACTCAATGACACATTTACAAAAATGTGACCATTGTCCTATTTACTACTATAAGAATGTGATTTTAAAATCATGTCGGAAACTTGATAAGCTTTTTTAAGAATTGCGTCTATAAAAAACATTAAGTTTTAGACTAAAAATCATAGTTCTGCAAAAAAACTTTACATCGCATATAATAATAATAATAAAGCCAATTGATTTCTATAATCTATGTAATCATAAAAATTAATTAAATTATAAGAAACTATAATCTATGCAATCATACAAAATGAAATAAATTTTTACTTACTATTTTTATTACTACTATTTTAGAGCTTCGTTAGATATATACACAGAAACATAATGTAAGAAAAATATACAGAATCATATGAGACCTTGAAATTTTTGTTGATAAGATAAAAATAAGCAGTGTTCGCGTAGTGGCTTCAGCGTGCGACTCACATCCCTCGCTTCGTGAGGAAATCTGCTTGCCTTAGACCCAAAAGACGGCTTGTGTCAGGCACGACACTTACTTGCCTATTAAATTGACAAATCATCATTGATCAGATATAGAAATCTGAGGCCTAAATGTTGTAGTGCCACTGATTTTAATGAGAGGTACAATAGTTACTCCATCGCTTTAAGATACTGGCTAATGCAGAAGCTGAATTTTCACATATGGTATAAATGCTATGCCTTTTCGATAAATCCTAGCCGGATCTTGTCATAATCATGATAAAATTAACTTCTTAATAACTATAAAATAGCAGGTTTAGTAAAACAGATACATTAGTTTAAATATAATTTATTTCACAGTCATTTTGTAGGAACTTTGGGGATAGCTTAGTAGTGGTGGTGGTAGGCGTGCTGGGGGTGAACTGAGGGCGCGGAGTTGTGTACTACTGCGTTGAATCTGAAAAATAATAAGAAATAAATTAATATAACTTTATGATAGTTATATTTAACTTAGAGTTGTTTAGGGGAAAATATAAAACAAAAAGCGTTTTAATGATTTGGACGCTCTAAATTTATTGACAAATGATTCCTTACCCGTTGTGGTCATCAGCAGTGTAGTGGACCTGTCTGACGGAGCCATCGGGCTGCACCAAAGAGTAGGAGCCGTGGACTGCGTCACCGTCGCGGCTCTCGTGCTGGGACTTGTGGTCTCCGGTGTGGGGGTCAGCCACGGAGTAGGAGAAGTCGTAGTTTGGGTGCGCCTGCATAAAAAGTTATACTCAGCAATTTATGAAGTTTATGATTATTTGTATATAAAATTATTTTGAATTAAAAAATGTTTTCAATCAAAGAACTATCAGCGATAGAGCCTAAATCGAAACAAAAATTTAAATGCTTACATAGGTGTCGTGTCCATCGTACTGAGAAGCTCCATAATGTCCTCCGTAGGCTAAAGGCGCGTAGGCAGCTGATCCATAGCCGGTGTCGTGACGGACAATGCTCTGAGATGACACAGCTTGGCCGTGCAGACCAGCTTTGGCAGCGGCTAAGAAAGCGCCGAATGCGATAACCTAGAATAAGATAACTTTTTTAATAAAAAAAAAAACTTATAATATATTCTCACTTTAAGTTTCTAATAACTTGGAAATCTAATAAAAACGTACTTTGCTGAACATTTTGTAGATTTAGAATTAAACGTTGCACGTCAAGTTGTGGCTTAAGTGTGATATGAATTAAACTCGATCACTTTTTATATTAAATGAAAATGGGTGGGGTATCAAGGATACTAGTAACGGATAACGGCCGTTTTTAATTATATTACTTGTTATAACGCAATGTGCTTTATCACGAAAGCTAACTATCCATTGCTCTACGTAATAGCGTAATATAAATAATCGAGGATGTAAATAATATATTGAGTTTGATTTTCAAATGTTTAGTTTCTATTTATCTAAATATCTGTCAGTACAAAGTTGAAATAGCGATTTCGAAGATTTGTGGTTTCCAAAGAAAAAACCCTGTCTTGAAACGTATGTGACGTTTAACATATTATCATAGATCATTGTCTTAGAAATAAACCCTTAATAGGTATAAACATTTTTAGAGACACTTTTTAAAACTTATATAAGAAACTGTCAAATTTATTCATTAAATACCTGCCTTCAGCTTCTATAGAATGTCGTATCTATATACGTCCTTGAAAATTGAATATATTATCTCGTTTCTTACATTGTTGTTCGGCCACAAGGGCGTGTAATTATTACAAATATGCCTTAATTACGTTAATTATAATTTAGTTTTGACGATTCAGAGTAATGAGCATGGGATTGCCTCTCACTTTCGGAGATTTTAAACTTTTTAAAGGGTTTTCAATCAATTCGAATGTTTGTGTTTCACCTAATTTACGTTTTTTTTTGTTCTGCATGTCATCCCCTCTGTGTAGAGATTGCTAGCATTTAGTTCGGTGAGATGATAGGACACCACCTGGTGGGCAACCTCTGCTGACGATAACTCGTGTAGTGGTGTTAACAATGTTAAACATATTGTTGATCCATTCTGTTAGAGTTTATGCTTCTCCACATGTCACTAGTGCTCTCGTTATTCTCATGAAATTTGTTTGGTCAAAAGCACCTTCAATGTCAATAAATGCTCCAAGGGTTTCAGAGTTGCCAATGCGAGATAGAATTTTGTGGAATGATGATTCTGTTGATTTGCCTAAGCTGTAGGTGTGTTGATTTGGATTAATTTAATAATTTAATTTAGGTAAGGATACCCGGCTTCGTATCTCCAGGTCTCCCAGCCTCGCCAGCGTTTTTAGAAAGAATGAAGTGAGGCTGATGGGTCTGACGGATTTTGCTTGAGTCCTCGCAACCTGGTATTGGGATGAATATGATTTTGACTTCCCTCCCTTCAGAGGTATATAGCAAGGAGCTATACAGGCTCCAAAAATTGACACAACTCCACCTTAGTAGACCTGGGAAAATGCCATCCAAACCAGCCTCTTTAAATGGTAGGAAGGAGTTGATAGCCCATGTTACTTTTTCTTTGGTGATTATTTTGTCAGCGACATGCCAGTCTGAGCTGACCGTGACTCTTTCTGAATAGGGTTTCCATGACTGCTCGTTAGTAATTATACAACCTGAAAAGTGAGTTGCCAGTAGTAGTGCACATGTTTCTACATCGGTTTTTGTAAATGAGTTATTAGGTTTTTTAAGACAGCCGATTGATTGATAGGGCTCTCTCTTGCTTCATAATACGAAGAAGTATTTTAAGCCGTTTCCTCGCGACTGTGTTCTTGTCTCTATCGGGGGGTAACAGTGTATTCCTAGCTCTATTAAACAGTTTGCTGACCTTCCGACGGTGTCACTCCAATTCGGGACACCTCCAGGTATGGTTTGTTTGTCCCCCCCATCTTGGTATGGTGAGGGGACACGACTGCTCACAGCTTGAGTAGGGACGTTAGATTATTAAGATATTTGTCTATATCTTGATATTCTTCTTGGTTGCGGTTTAGGTAGCTTTTGTTTGCAAAGCGGATAAACGTATGATCCGAGTACGATAATTCGCTGGACACGTGCCAGTCCTGTATGTGAACAGACAGACCCGCTGTTACCATTGATAGATCTATTATAGTTTGTGAACGTGTATTAATAAATGTTGGTTCTAAACCGCTGTTTGCTAAGATAAGTGCTAAGTATAAAATAAGGCATATCCTCACCTCGAGCGTTGGTATTGGCATTACCCCATAGCGTATGATGTGCATTGGAGTCTGCCGCGATGATGAGTTTCAGTTTCTCCCTCTCGTAGTATTCAACCAGACGGCTGCGTTCTGAAGTGGGCATGGCCTCGTCACCCGGTAAGTAGGCGGAAGCCAGACCGATACATGTCAATCGGGGTGCGTGTTCCTAGGTAACCTAACAACTGTAAGGTACCTTGAACATAGTTCGTTTATTAGCAGTGTCGGTACATGTTAAGGTTGTAGTATGCAGGTTCTTGGGTTACTAACAGAGGTGTCCAGTAGAAGTTTACCACCAATGCCAGGCCATATCATGGTATTCCCGATCCACGGCTCCTGGATCGCGGGGATAATCCTTGGGTTGGTTTCCAGCAGTCTGCGCAGGGAAGCCGACGCTGTTTCTCTGTGCTGGTGGTTGGCTTTGATAAGTTCAGTCCAGTGAGAGAGTGGAGTGCAGACAGCTATCGCAGAATTTATTCCCCCGGTCTCCTGTAAGAAATCCTCATCCGAGGTTATTTGTCACCCGTGAAGGTGGTTGTTGTACCGCCTCCATCGGGGCGTGGGTATCGGTGACTCGGCCGGCCCCAGCATCCCTTGTCAATGACGTGGAATTGTACGCCGATGTACTGGCGGTGGTTAGAGGTGGTGTGACCGGTACAGGGGGCCTATGAGGACTCTTCTCTATTGAAAAGTCGGATATAGATGTTCCCCATCAGGTAGTATATGCGCCTATCTTGGGCCTTGATCTTTGAGATCTCAGACTCCGGCACACGAAAGAAGAGTGTGACACCTGTCCGGTCATGTGTTCTTCGTTCGTGCGTCAGGATCCATGATCTAATGTTAAGGTGGCGGTTCTGCCTCGTTATTAGTTTCCTTAAAGTATCCGTGTTACCAGTAAATTCTGGTACATGGAGTAGGCAAGGAACCTTTTTCGGAATTGCCGATTGAGGCCGAACCACCAACTTGGTGTCAGGTATAGGAGAGGTAATGACATCACATGTTCTAGTCAACCAGCTCAACGTGAAAGCGTCCTCGCACCAGATTTTGAGGACACCATCCGAAAAGTGAGCATTATGCCGAAACCTGATGTCATTAGGTTCTGCTGTCAGGGAAGCGTCAAGATCCGCCATGAGCTCATCCTGAAGCTTTCCCTGGATCTGTTGGCGGATGTTTTCCACTTGTTCTTGTGTTATATCCATGAAGGGCTCAGTCATAACAGCAACACAAAGGTTGTTAGCTTTATATGATGCTGCTGCTTCTACATAACTGGCCGTGGTCCCTCCCACCGGTCGAGGTCTGTTTGGTTAAACGGAGTCCTTCGGCCGTTAGCGTTTCTGGCCCTGTGTTTGCTGGTTAGTTATTGGTTTTTTGGGTTGGTTACTGCCACTAGGTCTCGTGCTGAGCTTAGAGCTATCGATCTTAAGCACGGCATCGGACCCTGTCGGCGTCGGTGCCCCCGTTCTTCCTCCTTCTGCTGTAGTAGCTCCAGGGGTAGATTTTGGGTCCCTAAGTAGCCTCTGAGCGTTGGTTGCCAGCTTCTGCTATTCCGCCGCTCTTTTGGCTTTCTTAAGCCGTCGCCTTTTGGAGGCACTCATACCATGAGTAAGAACCGGTTTCTGAATTGCGGTATTCAGGGTCAACTTATCCATGGATGAAGACGAAACACTGGTTGCATTCTCCGTCGCAGCTTCAGTCTTCCACATTGTTCTTGCCGCGGATGCCTTACTTTCAGACGCAGACATTGCTGTTGCATCATTCGGAGTGGGCTTCTTTGGCTCAACCAATGCAGTTAACCTTGCTGCAACAGTGGACGCATCCCTGTGCGATAGTGTTTGAGGTTCTGTCGGAGAGGGTACGGTCTTGGATACTGCTCGGTTTGGCGCATCGCTAGTAGTTTCCCACTCCTTTTGAGTCTTAGACGCTGCCTGAATAGGCGCATCCGTGTAAGAGACAGGGGCATCAGAGTATCGTGCCACTGGTGACTTAACCGCAGCACGTCCTGAGACGCAGCTCTGGGTTTGCTTGTTAATGGCGCATCTGTAGACTCAGCCGTATGTTGTTTTTTGTTTTTGTTTATAGCCTTTTTATCCATGAGGTAAAAATTCACCGTCGGAGCTCTCCACACGCCACGGAGCCCTCAAGTCGGGGACGTCTCTTGTTTAGCAAGCGACGTCAGAGCTACTCTTTCGGTATAGAGCAAGCGCGTGGACAGACAGACGCGTCCTCACGCAGCAAAGGAGTACAGAGCTGTTCGCATCACGAGACGATGACGCAAACTCACTCCGAGTCCCGTGCCACGCCGACGGCCCCCCATCCACACCCCGACTCTCGCTAGGTAGCCCGCTTATGGGATACCACAGCCGGTTGACCATGGGCAGCTAATCCACGGCCTCCCGTGTGAGGGGAAATCCGGACCAAAGAGGTGTGTTGTGTGCAGCGCGCAACTGTAACCGGCGCACTACGCCACTCAACCTCCAGGACTCCTTTATCCCCCGGTACGGGTCCCCGCGCACGCCACAAACACGCTGGTGGTCATTGACTGTCCACCGTCCTTCCATTTTGGACGATGAACTCGCAAGGACATGACCTCTCCATCCCTGCAATAGTTCGCTTGGTGGTTTTAGTTGCGTCTATTAAATAAGGTATTAGACCAAGAACAGGGTTGGCAAACCTCGGGAAGGCTAGTCCACCAAACTTGTCTTGGGGATCTCAACGACTTGCGCTACTCCCAAGGCCACGCCTCCCTACCCATCAGAAGGATGTGGTAGGGTAGGCCTGCGCCTATGCTACCATGCAATGCAAGCACGTCGTGCTGGGAACCGTAGAAGCATAGGCCCAGGCCCCGCCCTATGCAAGTGTTGCCCCTGCAACAATGTTACAAATGTTTTAAATTCAATCACTATGCAAAAAAAATTAATTACAAACAGCGTTGCTCTTTTTTGTTCAGGCGAACATAAACAAATATAAAGACTGCAGTAAATCAAATGAGATTATTGCTGCATAAAGTGCAGTAGATCTTATTTGGCTATATGTAAACTTTGTCCAAAATGAAAATCTAGAAAAGAAAAATAATATAACATAATATGCAAGCGTTGCCATTACAAAAAAGTCTGACTTCCTCCTCTTCCACCACACTCCAACCCTGTAAATAAAAAAGTGAATAGCTTAAATAATGTACCTAAACATGTAAATTTATAAGTTAATATTAAGCCTATCTAACAGGCTCAGTGATGTACTTATGGCCCTGTTACAAACACTGGTTACAAATTGGTAATAAGAATGGTAATGAACCTGACACTGCAACATTTATTAAAGATATAATCATTAAAAATCTACATAATAGACACACAATCATATAAAACATGCTTGCTATCCAATGTGTAAGGTGCTAATCATAAAAAATATCTTACAAACTCTTAAATGAAAATGATAAGATAAAAATTAATGGCTGTTTCTCCAATAAATGAGACATGGTTAAAAGACCATCAATCTTTTCATATTTCTGGTTAAAATTTCTAAAATAAAAATTCACAAATACTTCCTGTATTGTGTAGGAATATTAATAAAACCATATTTACAACACAATGTCATAAGTACAATTTTTTGTGAAGATATACAAACAATTACCTGAACAGATTAGTTCCACATCACGATAAAGAGATATGTTCCTATCGTCCAATGTCATTATCATCATGTTTTGAAAAGATATTTGAAAACATAGTGAAGTCTCTCTTTCACTGGTATGCAGAATCCAATAATGTCACTCCGCATGTTCAATATAGATTCAGCAGAGGGTGAAGCTGTGTTGATAGCTCCATTTTCCTCATAAGCGACCTGAAAACTGCAAAATTCAAAATCATTTACTCATTTAGGTAATTGCTATTAATTTTACATTTACTGCCAGTTCTTAAATCAAGGGAGTAGTACAGACGAGAAGAACTGGCAATAAACTCTAAAAGCAATACACACAGTTTGTGTATTTCTAGATGTGTAAGGTGCATTTGTCAGTGTGGAACCTGGCCATCTAGTGAAGGTACAGATTAATACTGGTATACCTGGACAATGGTGTAGATGTGTACAAGAAGTGAAAATGATATATACGAGTAAGTTATTAATATATCAGTTTGAACTGGTCCATACAAGATAGTGTAATGCCTAACATAATATTCTATTATTAAGAAGTATGTACACTTAAGTACGAAATTTTTAGATATTTAAGTATGTAATACTAAAAATGTATATATACTTCAATTTGCAGATGTTAATTTACTGTTAAAATTTTGTGGGTACACAAAGGTATTTCAGGTATTTGTAAGCAGACAAAACTACATATGGAGTCAATAATCTTGACGTCAGAAATGTTCCTATGGCCGATTATGATTACCTATTACGATGTAAATAACACCTTAAAAAACATGTGGAACGTGTGTGAGCTTTTGGAAAGAGGATCAAAAATGTCAAGTATGTATACGAATAGTATAAGTATACAAGTATGGAAGTATACGAGAGAATTTAGCGTGAAGACACGACGTATGATGAGTAGGACATAGCTAGCCGTGAGTTCATTATCACAATTGCAATCATCAGATTGGGATTTTGACACAACCCCGTACCGACGCACACCTTGCAAAACTGAGTCAAATTTTTATTATCTTATACATTCAGCTTTATCTTGCAAATCCCAATATTTATATACTTGGATTGTTTTATATATCTATATACTTGGATTGTTTAATTGGTATTAATATAGTAATATCTTTATAACGCAATTACAATAAAAATTAAAGAAATGAAGAAATGAAAATTTTAAAGAAAATCTACGATACATTCTATGAGACAAATATTGGTTAATGTGTGATTTATATTAGGTTTAATCTCTTCCGTGCATCTCGAGAGCTGTTTGCAGCCCAGCCCAGCTCACCTTTATCCTCGATATAAGAAACTTGCCGAGAGCAGGAGGCATTCGACTGAGAAATTGAATGCATTTTAAGCCATCACAGGTTTTGTAATTACAGAATACGATCCTTCGTAGGAAATATGGTTTATTTTCCAAAGTCCCAGATGATCTTTAAGACCCAAACACGTGGGCTACATGCAGCCCTACGCACCGCGTGACAACTACTCTTGTTATAATAATGATCAAATTAATTTTTTAGTAACAATACTAATGCATGTTACAAAAAAGAGATACATTTGTTTAACCACGCTCTGCAACCAAAATAAATATTAACCACAAAGAACGGTTCGGTGGCCGTCGATACACAATTTTATACTTAAATAATGAGTACATACCTCGTTACGATGTATCCTTACCAAGAAGAAAGGCACACAATTGTCAGTCGTATGGATTTGGAGAAATTGTATTAGTTTGGAAACAAAGAGAGGTTAGACTGATAGTGATACCTTGCCTCACAATAGTTTACAAAACGCACAAAAAACTTACTATAAAATTATTAATTTAATAGTTACTTTTTAACAAATATGATTAACAAACGCAATTTTATTTTGATTTATACCTTATAAATCAAAATAAAATTGCGTCTTACATAATCCGAGTAAAACTAAACAGTGACTAACAAAAAATGTGACAATCGGCCGAGTTCAAATATTTTTGAACTACCCTCATAAAAATTCATTAAACTAAAATGATGTGTTTCGATCAACTAATGCATGTTAAATAAAAGAAATACATTTGTTTAAATATAATTTATTTAACAGTCATTTTGTAGAAACTTTGGGGATAGCTTAGTAGTGGTGGTGGTAGGCGTGCTGGGGGTGAACTGAGGGCGCGGAGTTGTGTACTACTGCGTTGAATCTGAAAAATAAAAAGAAATGAATTAATATACCTTTACTAGCTGACCTGGCAAACGTCATTTTGCCATGTATATCATTTATAATAAAAAATAGAATTTGATCGTAGAGGGGTGAAAATTAGGGGTTGTATGTATTTTTTAATGCTGTCATAAAAAAATAAAAAAAAATAATCTAGAAATTTTAAAAAAATAATTTAGGGCTGGACTACCCTTAACATTTAGGGGGATGAAAAATAGATGTTGTCCGATTCTCAGACATACCCAATATGCACACAAAATTTCATGAGAATCGGTCAAGCCGTTTCGGAGGAGTTTAACTACTCACACCGCGACACGAGAATTTTATATATTAGATGATTGTTTTATTTAACTTTTGCTTAATGTGTAATAAAAAGTGTTTTAATGAATTGAACGCTCTAAATTTATTTACAAATGATTTCTTACCCGTTGTGGTCATCAGCAGTGTAGTGGACCTGTCTGAGGGAGCCATCGGGCTGCACCAAAGAGTAGGAGCCGTGGACTGCGTCACCGTCGCGGCTCTCGTGCTGGGACTTGTGGTCTCCGGTGTGGGGGTCAGCCACGGAGTAGGAGAAGTCGTAGTTTGGGTGCGCCTACATAAAAAGTTTTACTTAGCAATTTATGAACTTATATATAATTATTTTGAAGTAAAAAATGTTTCCAATCAAACAAGGAAATGAAATATAGCCTTAATAGAAACAATAATTTAAATGCTTACATAGGTGTCGTGTCCATCGTACTGAGAAGCTCCGTAGTGTCCTCCGTAAGCTAAAGGCGCGTAGGCAGCTGATCCATAGCCGGTGTCGTGACGGACAATGCTCTGAGATGACACAGCTTGGCCGTGTAGACCAGCTTTGGCAGCGGCTAAGAAAGCGCCGAATGCGATAACCTGGAAAAGGATAACTTTCATAATAAGAAAAATAAATTTAACTTTTAATTAATAAGACGTTTGTTAAGTTATTCTTATTATAACTTTAAGTTTCTAATAACTTGATAGCAATCTAAGAAAAACGTACTTTGCTGAACATTTTGTAGAATTAGAATTAAACGTTGCACGTCAAGTTGTGGATTAAGTGTGATATGAATTAAACTCGATCACTTTTTATATTAAATTAAAATGGGTGGGGTATCAAGGATACTAGTAACGGATAACGGCCGTTTTTAATTATATTACTTGTTATAACGCAATGTGCTTTATCACGAAAACAAACTATGCATTGCTCTGCTTAATAACTGTTGTCATCAATATTGTCAATGTTTTGTCGTAGTCATTTGTATAAAAATCCATCAGTGGAAAGATTAAATATCGATTTTGAAATTTGATGGTTTCCAAGGCGAAAATCTGGCCTGAAACCTCAGGTTTAATATATGATCAATCATTGTTGTTGTTTTTGCGTTTTCTTAGAATTAAACCCTTAATTTTTTATTTATTTATTTATTTCTCACAAAAAACTTAGGACTATGCAAGTGACAGTTATATACTAGTATAAATAAATAATTGTCTTACTTCTGTAGGGAAAAAGCTAGTTTGTGTGAGACTGATGCCTGCTAAAGGTAAGAGTACCTGTGTTACAGGTCATCAGCCCTGCTATTCTGTAACTCACTTTTCGAACTCACTCAGCGGTTTTCGCAACGGCGGTCGCTCTGAAATCAGTCGTGAAGCAGTCATTTTATGATTTGGCATTCTAATAAACAATAAACTACAAACTTCCACCTTTTCAGAATGCCAAATCATAAAATGACTGCTTCACGACTGATTTGAGAGCGACCGGCGATCCGAAAACCGCTGTGTGAGTTCGAAAAGTGAGTTACAGAATCGCAGGGCAGGCCTCCACCACTTCGGATATATTTTAAGATAAACTTTTTAAAACTTTTTAGCTGTGAGGAACTGTCAAATTGTGTCATTAAGTACCTCAGCTATATTCAGCTTCTACTCGTATATCTTGACGTATCTATATATACGTCCTTAAATACTAAATATATTGTTCATTTTGTTCATTTCTTACTGGGCCACGGGGGCGTGTAACTATTACAAATACTTTAATTACGTAAATTATGATATTGTGATGATCATAAAATAGCAGTGTACGAAAAGTCGGTAATCTTAATAATTTGAAAGGGTTTACATTCATTTTCAAAGTGTGTATTTAAACCTATATAACCTATATAGCTCTAAGCAGTCGCTCTGCGGTCGAGTTTCGCCGTGCGGTCGACTGCTTAGAGCTGCCGGACCCACCATACACGGACCGCTACAAGCGGTTGCTGCCGACCGCGCGCCACTCCCTCAAATATAATAAAATACTAACTAATTTATCAAATGAAACCACGGACATTCTAAAGTAGTCGAAAAACTTTTTAGTGTCTTCTCTCAGCTGGGGATACAAAGTATGAAATATTCCATGCTGTTCTCTTGATTGTAGTATTGGACGCACCCACATACTGCGGTGTCTTCTACGCCTACGCTTGCGTAGTAATAGAACAAGAAGCAGTGTTTCTTCATCGAAATCCATCTTGTAAATGAACTCGCATCAGTATTATTTTGTGGTCGAACACAACTGCTCCAAGCAGTCGTAGTTGACTGCATTATGCGGTCGTGTTGCAGTCGTGTAAGACTTCAACGCGACCGCTCTAGAGCAGTCGGTCTCGACTGCAACATGCGGTCCGTCTATGGCCAGCGTAAGCCTCTTTTATGAAGCCTACGCTTACGTTGTGTCATAGTTAAATAGTATAATTATAAAAAAGGAAGTATATATTTATAATTTTCTTCTGCTTATGCGTTACATAGAATTTATTTTATTATGTTTTAATCTAAAACACAATCCTATTTACGTACGTAGTGGTCATTTTCTTTAATACTTCAAACTGTAAAAACAAATATAAATCAAAGATATCCTTCTTTTGTCACCGTTGTGAAAAGAAGCAATACATCCTATATACTATATATATTTATTTATTTATTCCATAATCCTACAGCTAACATAAATTATATATAATAACAAATAGTTACTCTGAAAATATAGCCATAGATGGAATACATAATACATTTATCTATAAAAAGGTTCAAAAATTTACAAAAGAAACAAAAACAATAAGAAATTATTCAAAACATTTAAATAAGTGGTACCTAATTTGGCTGTGTTGTGTGATGGTGTAAAAAAGAGGGTAAGTATGTGAAGGTGTGTACGTGGGGTATGCTCATGATGGAGGTGATTTGAAATATATATTAAATATATATAATATTGAATATATATAATAGAGATCGTCAGGTTTACGTTTTTGTTAGAAAATCTGACAATTGCCATCGCTTTTAAAAACTGTATCTAAAACATAGGAAACAAAGTAAAATTTTTATCATATAAAATATATTCAGCTTTATCGTACTAATTCCAATATCACACCATTAAAAAAATCCAAATTAATATCTTCCTAAAGCAATAAGCAATTAATTTATTTATTTGAGTTCTTAAGATAAATTTGTTCACAATTTTTTTTATGTAAAATAATTTATCGAACACATTATTTCATATATGGCTTATGTTTAATGACTATCGAAAAAAATCGGTAAATGGTTTTACAATAAGCGGACTTGTACTAACTTTTTATCATTTATATGTGGAAAATCTATATCTGCTTTACAGCGCGAGTACATGAATCTTATAAATCCTACTTGTAATTTTGTATTATTGCGAGATTGTTCAACTTTATTTATTAAACGAATCTGTACCTAATCATGTTGTAATATTGATAAAACTAACGCCTTAATAACTACTATAGCGGGATTAATACAAGAGATTCATTTGTTTAAATATAATTTATTTCACAGTCATTTTTAGGAACTTTGGGGATAGCTTAGTAGTGGTGGTGGTAGGCGTGCTGGGGGTGAACTGAGGGCGCGGAGTTGTGTACAACAGCGTTGAATCTGAAAAATAATAAGAAATGAATTAATATATTTTTATGATTGTTTTATTAAGCTTTTGTTTAATGTGTAATAAAACGTGTTTTAATTAATTGAGTGCACTAAATTTATTAAAGCAAATAATTCCTTACCCATTGTGGTCATCAGCAGTGTAGTGGACCTGTCTGACGGAGCCATCGGGCTGCACCAAGGAGTAGGAGCCGTGGACTGCGTCACCGTCGCGGCTCTCGTGCTGGGTCTTGTGGTCTCCGGTGTGGGGGTCAGCCACGGAGTAGGAGAAGTCGTAGTTTGGGTGCGCCTACAAAAAAAGTTTTACTTAGCAATTTATGAATTTATATATATAATTATTTTGAAGTAAAAAGTGTTTCCAATCAAAGTAGGAAATGCGATATAGCTTTAATCGAATCAAAAATTTAAATGCTTACATAGGTGTCGTGTCCATCGTACTGAGAAGCTCCATAATGTCCTCCGTAAGCTAAAGGCGCGTAGGCAGCTGATCCATAGCCGGTGTCGTGACGGACAATGCTCTGAGATGACACAGCTTGGCCGTGCAGACCAGCTTTGGCAGCGGCTAAGAAAGCGCCGAATGCGATAACCTGGAACAGGATAACTTTAAAAATAAGAAAAATAAATTTAACTTTTAATTAATAAGACGTTTGTTAACTTTAAGTTTCTAATAACTTGATAGATCTAAGAAAAACGTACTTTGCTGAACATTTTGTAGAATAAGAATTAAACGTTGCACGTCAAGTTGTGGATTAAGTGTGATATGAATTAAACTCGATCACTTTTTATATTAAATAAAAATGGGTGGGGTATCAAGGATACTAGTAACGGATAACGGCCGTTTTTAATTATATTACTTGTTATAACGCAATGTGCTTTATCATGAAAACAATCTATGGATAGTTGTACCATTTAGCGTAATGTACTAAATATTAAATAATAGACAGAGTATTCTGACACTTTCAGCTATATACGCATCAAAACAAAAATATAATATATTTTATGATTAAATAATTAACATTTCAAGCGGATACATTGGAAAGGCGCTTTGTCTAAAAAAGGCTTTATAAACGTTGAGCAGGCGTAAAACATAGCGGGCTGACTAACAATAATTAGTATAATATATATTATACTTATATAGTCTATTGCAATAATTTTGAAGGAGACATTAGAAACGATTTAGATTATACTTGACTGATTCTTATTATACATACACAACCACTGAGGTGTAAAATTATTACATTTACTGTAATTAAAATATTGTTTCGATAGTATTTTAGACTATCGATATATCGATTTTATCTCGGATATTAAAGTAATTAAGGAAGTAGATAAACACAGTTACGTTGTTTAGAAAGAGAATATTGGTGGAGTCCTTAAACAATTAATTTTGAAGCCGTGTTGGCCTAGTGGCCTGAGCGTGCGACTCTTATCCCTGTCATCGTAGGTTGAAACCCCGGGTGTGCTCTTACTGACTTTTCTATCTGCGCTGTTATCACTCGCTGGCACGGTGACCGGAAAACGGCATGTCTTAAGCCCAAAACCTCGACGGTCTGTGTTAGTCACAGAAGGCTGATTTCTTGCCTATTGGCAAAACAAATGATCACGAAACATACAAAGCATGAGGTCAAGATCAAGGGTTGTAGCGCCACTGGTTTATGCAAATAAATTTATGATTAAAAACGGTATATCATAATAATTAGTAACTACAGATACCGGCAAACTTCTTGAGCATTAAACAAGGGAGTGGGGAAAAGTTTGCGCATCGCAGGACACAAACGTCAACTGATTTACCAATCACGCGATCGACACGTCACTCTCCCGCCGCCGCAAGTGATACCTAAAAATTGCTTCTGTGCAGCCAAGGACATTTGATCAAGATGTTTGCCGGTATCTGTATCACAATTTTTTAGTTAAAAAATATGCGAATTTGAAAGAAAACAGGCTATTTACATCTATTGAATATGAGTATCGGCGTAACTTAGGTCTGGATGTATGGAACCTGGGTCTCAAGGAGAAATAAAACTTAGGTTGAAGCTTTACCTGAGTATCTTACTTGTATCATTTATATTTATAAATTGATACACTTCAGATTACAATTTGAGTAATCAGTCCAAATTCTTATTACGCCGATTTCGGATATTACGCCAATCGAAAAATCAAAGTCAATATTTTCTCACAGTATTACAATTACAATTATGAAATATATTTATTTCTTTATGTTCAATTATAAATTAGTTTGAATATCTTGATATTACTTCATATCCCTTGCGGTTATTTGCATGTTATATTTTATTAACTAAAGAATACATACGATTCGGATTTTACATTGGTCCAATTTCTATATTATTTATGACAAATAAATTGTTTCTTACCATGCTAATCATTTCTTTTTGGAAAATAATATATCTTTAGACCAGGTTTTATAAGAAAGTCAATTGTTTTTTTTAATATAATCGGAGGTGGATGCTGTGTGTGATGGGAGTTTATCTGAGCTGAGTTTTATCTCATTCTGGAGACTATTCTGATTCCATAGTCACATCATCTGAAAGTCTATGAAGGTCTACATAAAGCTGTACATATGTCGCTGGACGAAAGCGAAATGTTCTCTTGAAGATATTTGGCGGCGGTATTGTCTTCTCTCACATAAAATTCTTTGTAAAGCAACATAAGAAATACATGTAAAACAATTACTTCATCTACTTAGACTATCTGTTAAGTAACCACTAAATAAAAAAATATCTTTATTCATTATAAAAATGAATTATAATGTGTAAGATTTGAGAACCCTTTTAAATATAAAATACTTGTGTCAGGGTTCCCAGCTCTTCCATTACAAACTTAATAGTTAACTCCATATCTTTAATTTTTTTTTTGTTTTTTCAATTACAATTTTGAAAATCCTTAAAACTTCACAACAACTTCTCCCAATTATTCTTCTTAAAAAAATATTTACTCCACGATTAACACGCTTGAGTGCATGAGTGAGTGTAATCTGTGGACAGTGAGAGGGTAGATATGAAGCAACCTATTTAATTTAAATGACGCCTGTTACGACGATAAATAGATACTTAAAAAATAATTTAACACTGGGTTAGACCTTACATTTATGCACACATTTAAGCAATCTACAATGCTGTTTTTACTAAATAAGTAAAACAAATTTTGATGATAAAGTTTTATATTTGAATAAATATACTTAAGTTTAAAGTACGCAATCAGAACTTAGGAATCAGTAATGATGGTAGGCTGGCTGGGCGTGGTAGGAAGGGCCGGAGTAGTGGACGTCGGCGTTGAAACTGTAACATAAATTAACAATGTTAAAGCCAAAACAGTTGTGATAAATACATCAATAAATTTCGTTAGTCTTTTGAAATAGTTTCCTATGCGTCATACACAAAAGTTTTTAAGTAAACAATAAGGTACGTTTATTCCCATTTTCCGTCTTTCACTAAGGCGCTTCGAGTCTTGCAAGTAGCGATCGTGTGATGATGATCATAATCGAAAATTCAATTTCGTTCACCTTTAGTGGTTATGTATGCTATACCAATGATAAATTTTATCTCAACTTCCATTAGATATATATTTACCAATGGCGGTAAGCAAGTGATCAACCTTCTGTGCCTACACACATCGTCGAGGATTTCATCACGATTTTTTCCTTCACCATACAAGCGAGTGTTATATGCGCACATAGACAGAAAATCCGTTGGTGCACAGCCGGGAATCGAATCTACAACCTCAAGAATGAGAGTCTCAAGCTGAAACCACTAGGCCAACACTGCAACTTCGATTACAATTTACAATTTTATTATTCGATTATTTGCATTACCCGTTGTGGTCATCAGCAGTGTAGTGGACCTCTCTTAGAACGCCATCGGGTTGCACAAGGCTGTAGGAACCATGGACTGCATCACCGTCGCGGCTCTCGTGCTGGGACTTGTGATCTCCGGTGTGAGGGTCAGCCACGGAGTACGCGAAGTCGTATTTTGGATAGGCCTATTAAAAGTTAATTAAATAATTGAAAATAATATTGTAGGCAAATTAAGCAGCAACGCATAAAAATCATTAATGTCTATATAATATCTAATTAATAATTATAATTACATGTTCATCGTGTCCTTCGTAAGATCCAGCATAGGCCACAGGGGCAGCATATGCTAAAGGTGCGGCATAAGCCAAAGGCACGGCATATGCTGGAGCAGCCAGGTGTCCTAAAGCTTCATCATGACGGACAATGCTTTGAGAAGATACAGCTGGTCCGTAAGCGTAGTAGCCGGCGTTGGCTACGGCCAGGATGGCTCCAAAAGCTACAATCTAGAATTTTACAAATTAAATTTATGTACCTATATTGTTTTGAGCTACAATTATATTTAATTAATTTATTAATAATCCAATTCAAATAACTAATCCAATTTCAATTAGCTTTTTATATTTTCTATCGGTCCTTCTGGATGGATCCTTATGGATGACTAAATTTAAAGTCCACTCATTAAATATGAAGAATTAAATTTACATTGTGCTTTATTTAAAATAGGTGTTGTATGATTTTGTTATGACAAACAATTAAAATTTAAATTATCGTAATAAATAACTCACTTTACTGAACATTTTGGTTATGATTGGAATGCTGTTCAATGATTGATGTCAACGTCAAATAATCATTGGTTTTTATATTTAACATTCAATAACAATAGGTGGGGTTGGTAAGACCTTGCTTTAGTTTTTACAATAGAGTATTGAAACCCCATTATTAAAAAGCTATTATGTGTGTCATGGTACTGGCCGATCATTTAAAAGATAATTAGTGTATAAAGGTGGTGCTGTATTGCAGTTTGGTACGCTGTCTACTAAATAAACGCTGACTTAATTAAGGTATTTTTAAAATAATGTCTTACAATTTCAGTACGAGTATCATTCGTTAACGAACCACGAAATGGAAGCTCTCATAAAGCTTATATTTTTTACGTTTTTGCAAATGTTCTCACTGATGCTCCTCTAGGTAGTATCGTGATATAATATGGCCTTTCTCGAACACAAAAATTACTTTCTCCAAGACAACAATATAGAAAAATTAAAATGTCTATTATTATTTGTCTTTCAAATTAGTATGTTCATAAACATATTTTTCAGCTTATAAAATTAGTATACAAATGAAAATTTCCAAAACTTCCTCAACTTAGGCCCATACATACATTTTACTAAAAGAAATTAACATGACTATTGCGGAAAATAACGCTATATAATATATATATGTCTGTTATTTAATTATCACTTAAAAATATGAAACTCCGAAACATCATCATAAATCGTTATGTCAACACTCAACATACATAAACAACAACACACAACAAAATAAACACATTAAAACGATTTCGTATATTAATTCTCATACTCTCTGCACATTTGTCAAATCTAGATAATAGATCAACAGCTGTTAATTACTTAATTTGAACTGAAAATATTTAGAGTACATTAATTGCTTAATGAAAGTGGGTAATTATATTCATTGCTAAAGCATACATTTTTGTTGAGTCATAAAGGTCGCAGTTACGATTTTGAGTAAGACGTGATATGGACAAGTTTATTGTTGACCGTTTATGCTTTGTAGCTTATTTATGGCAAGGTTATTTTATTAGAATTTTTGAAACGTTCTATTACGTATACACTATACGGTATTGATTTAAAACTCTAGTAGGTGTAATACATTTTACTATAATATACTAATACGTTTGTAGTTTGAAACCCTGTGTTCTTAAAATACTGAATTAACCGTCTATAATATAATTGATCTGGTTACCATAAAGTATTGTTTAATAAATCTTTGTTTTAACAACATGATGTAATGGTTGCAGCTCCTTACAAACATTGTTCAAAACAAAAAACTTGGCGATTAAAAAGAGTGGCGGAGAGTTTATTGTTATTTATACAGTAATTGTCGTCTTGTGTTACCCACATGAATAAATGATTTTGACTTTGACTTTGACCTTGTTTGCCAGAATTTGAATCTAGGATTTAGGTTATAACCATACGGTAAACACTAGTCTACGGAGGTGGTAAGTTTAGTAGTTTATTTTTTTGTATTTGGATCCATCTTGTTGTACCCGTTGCTTTTGAATCGATATTTTCTATCCGCAATATGTTTTATAACCAAAACATCCTTGTCTTGGGAATGAAACATATATTTTTAAATATAGTTATAGTTATGAATGCATTATTGTTTCAATCATAGATCTATAGATATAGTCTAATTATCCCTAAAAGCCAACAAAGCTCCAGCGATCTTAAGTACCTTAAAAATAGCATAAAAGCCTTGCAAGAGTAATTTTCTAGATTTAGTATCTGTGCACGACTTTGCCAATGAGAGATTTGGACTGCCATTAAAATACTCCGTTAGAGTTAGACAAATGTAAATTCTATAATTCTATTCGGTACTATGTTTAAGTATTTAGAAGGCCAGATATTATTGTATATTTTAATTGAATTGTTGTTGTGAAAATTAATTAAAAAAACGAGACAAGCTTAAAAATATTTAAAAATAATTAATGTTAAAACTAAGAAAAAATAAATTAAAATGTATTAAAAACTAATGAAATAACACTTAAATTACTGATGACATTGACATTGAATTTTTGTACCATATTCTTGTAATAAATAAATATATGATTATTATTATTATTAATTACATGTCTTGAATACTGTAATAATTAATCAACAGACCATTAGGGCCAGACGTGTACAAAGAAAGTTATCTGAATAAGAGTCAAATAACCGTAAAAAAGTGTCACCTGTTGTTATGGTTTTTGTGTCCAACCGCAAATACCTAAAAAAAGCATTGTTTATAAAACCTTGTCATACATAAATTGTGGGTCATTTTTTGTAATCTGTGGTGGACAAATTATATGTAAAGCCTTATGTTTAAAAATGATTACGGTTAATGCCAAGTAATAATAATTTGGCGGGTTCTATTTCGTGTTGCTTACATTGTATCGGTTAATTGGACAACTTTACGAAATAGACCGAATGCTCTCATCCCTGCAAGCCTCCGCTGCACCCATTATGAGACATAATAAACTACCTACATAAATACTTACACATAAAAATACCCTTGATTGTAACTAACTTATTTTTGTCAATCTTCATAGCTTAGTTAAAGTTGTGACGTTTTGTTAAATGTCTAATTAAGTAGCATTAACATCGTTTCATTAATGTTCGAATTTCACTCCAATTATACTATAATACTGAGAGGCGCAAAAGTAAAGACCCTATTTGGTTCAGCATTTTTTCTAAATTAGAAAACTAGATTTAGGTTTTTTTAAATGTATATTTGTGCCATTAAATTTCGTACCATTAGGAGTTAAAGATGATGTCTTTTAAATGGTGACCTCCAGAGTTGATGCACATTTGAGCCCTATTTATGACATTTTGCATAACTTTCCGTAATACTTCCTGCGATATGTTCCTTATTTCTTGATGAATGTTTTCTTTTAGAGCTGCGAGAGTCTGTGGCTTGTTCACATTCACCCGAGATTTCAAAAAACCCCAAAGAAAGAAGTCTGGACTCGTCAGATCGGGTGATCTTGCAGGATATCGTCGACGAAATTCACGTTGTGTTTTATCACTGATGAATTATTCCGTAAGAACATTGACACGATTATTCCACGTTCTTGGGGAGTAAAACGGTCCATGTTTATTTTCAGTGTATTTTACATTTGTTCACTAGACAATTTTCAACATATAAAAAAAAATAAAAAATAAATTCTTTAGTGCCATTACTTTTCCGCCACCCGTTATATAAGATAATATAACAAATTCTGTATCCTCTGCATGTGATTATCTTTGAGCTCTTCTTGTTCTTTGAGTGCAGGGTATGCACCAAAGTCGTTTTAAGTCTGTTATGTATACACTTCCTCGCACGGAGAATTGTGAGGTCTACTTTTAATGGATTAATGTGAGTCCATGAAGGATTATAAGGCTTTAGTAGGGTATGTTTAGCCACATTTTTTGAATGTATTAATTGGTTATATTACTATATACTATTTTGTTACTTCGTAGAAAAGTTTAATGTATCAAAAATTGAATGTATCATGACTACATTAAACACAGGTACTTTTGTCACTAAATTGTTTGAATACTGTTAATATCTATTGTGATATGACATTTTATCAAAAGATGCAATATAAGTGCATATTTCAAGAAAAGGGTGTATTATAGTGAAAAAATAAAGTATTTGAAACATCATTCACACTTTATTTACAGAAATCACAGTAGTAATTATAAATACAGCATCACAGGGCAGGAGTTGAAGTATTAGTTTAGTAGTGGTGGTAGCCATGGGCTGGGGCATGGACGGGGTGCACTGAAGGGGCAGAGTTGTGGACAACCGCGTTGAATCTGAAGAAAGAAAACAAGATTAATACACATACACGATATTGCGTTTTAAAATTGCCTCAAGTAGAATTAATAAAATTAATGATTGTTTAATTTCAATAATGATAATATTAATTATATTAAATATAAGAATATTATAAAATTTTTATTAAATCTTACCCATTGTGGTCATCAGCAGTGTAGTGGACCTGTCTGAGGGAGCCATCGGGCTGCACCAAAGAGTAGGAGCCGTGGACTGCGTCACCGTCGCGGCTCTCGTGCTGGGTCTTGTGGTCTCCGGTGTGGGGGTCAGCCACGGAGTAGGAGAAGTCGTATTTTGGGTGGGCCTAATATCATTATAAAATATATATTATACCACAAGGTAATATAGTTACATTATTATACACTTTTTATTTAAATATTTGATGTTATGTGTCTACTTGGTAAACTTACATAGGTGTCATGTCCCTCGTAGTGAGCAGCAGGAGCTGCATATGCCACTGGAGCAGCATACGCTAGTTGAGCTCCATGACCATGGGCCAAAGAAGCAGCGGGAGCGGCATATGCCACTGGAGCAGCATACGCTAGTTGAGCTCCATGGCCATGGGCCAAAGGTGCAGCGTATCCACCATGGTGGACGATGCTTTGGGAGGACACAGCAGCATGGCCATGGCCAGAAGCGTTGGCAGCTGCCAAGAAAGCGCCGAAAGCTACGATCTGAATAAAAAAAAACTTTTTTATATGCTCCATTATTATTAATAAAATATTTGTAGTAAACTTACTTTGCTGAACATTTTGTATGTGCTTTGAAACAAATGAGTTTTGATTGATGTCAACGGTCCTGCTCAATGGTTTTATAGAACGCGATCTAGAAATTGAGTAGTGGGGCAAAGAAATGCGTGCACGCACCTTGACTCAAACGCTGACACACCGTCAAGGTCGTTCATACAAATATCGTACGTAATCGGCGGATAGAATGCTTGCTATTTCGTTGGTATTTTAGGTTTAATTGCAGTAAACACTTCCTAAAACATAATCGATTTATTGTTGAGGTAGGAAATATTTATCAGTAAAATACATTAGCCATTAATCTGTGGGAAATATGTTTGGAATTATTAATAGTCACTTATTGATACAATGTTCTTTATTGTTGTTATGTATATGATATGATATTAGATAATATGATATTTTAGTCCTTCTCTGATACAAATTTTGTCACAGATGCTCAAGTTGAGTATTATTTATGATAGGAAATGAAAGGATTTTTTTCTTTCGAAATAAGTAATAAATATACATAAACATAATTTTAATTATGACATTGCGTCCGCAGTAACATTAAAGAGGCCTACTCAATAAAACGCTGGCGTTAATATTTCAAAATTTTTATTTGTTAACAAAACGCCCAACTTTAAATACGTTTCGTTTTGAAACTTTACATACCTATCTCATTATTGAAACGAAATAAGTAGGTTTTCAATTTTAAATGATGTATAATGAAACATTTGATGGAAAGCGAATCTGTAGTATAACCGTTAAAGGACCGCTATTCTTTATACTTATGTATATATATAAAAGAAAATCGTTTAGTAATACTTTTTATCCCTCGCTAGGCAGGTTAGAACCAGGAGACGGACTTTTTATATTCTTTCCGTGGGACGTGACATTCAAGAGGTATAACAATACGCAATAAATATAAAAACGAAAAATGTATCAGTCAAAACATCCGTCTAGTCGTTCATTTGTTAAAAATGGTATAACAAAACGCAACTGACACGGAATAACAATACGCAACTGACAGCTAAACGTAATGTTATCTATGGTTGAGGTTTTTTTTAAATTTGACAATTAGAAGTTTTGAAGTTGAGGTTGATGTGTTTATTTCGATTTTCTAACAGCTTATCGTGCTGATATTATCATTAACAATGCCACGGAGATGATCGAATCTTTCCCGACAATGCCGTAATGCAATAAATGGGTGGACCGATTTCGATGAGTGTTTAAGTGGAATCGAGAATAGTTCAGATTATTTACAATTAGATGTTTTTTGTTTGTTTTTTTAAGTATGAAATTATGTATTTAAGATGTGTGTACAGGACGTCTGTCGGGGCCGCTAGTTTCTTTATATTTTTTTAAGTCATATAAAATAGATCAGTCTTATTGCTGTATTTAAATTAGACAACTCTTATTTCGTTTACTGTTTCATTGCCTTAATAAGACATATTTATTTTTATCAAATAGGGTTTTTATCATTGATGTTTTTATTATTTAGGCGTGCGCTCTTTTCTAAGTAAAAAAAAGAAAGTAATTATTGTTATTTTTGCAAAAAACAATTGTGTAAAAAGGTGTTAATTATCGCTCATGTGCATTTTTTGTAGAGTTAGTTAGTTGTGCATTAAACATTGTTAAACTTTACTACTACTATGAGACGATTGTAAGAAAAAAAATAGTGAGACTTGTGTGGACGTTAATTGCTCCCGTTTTAAGAATCCCTGCCACCCTGACTCGGTTAATTGAATGTATTTTACAAACAAATAATTCCTGGAGGAATTGGGTTTGTGTCCTATTATTTAATAATTATTATGTTGTCTTTGAAAACATATTGTTATTTATATTAAAGTTATTGCCTAGGCAGGCTTTAAACGGTATATACTCGTAAGTTGATTTATTGCAAGTTGATTTATTGCTAATAAATTACTGAACAAAATTAAAAACTCTTGGATAGGTTCTTTGGACATCTGTGAAAATAATTGTCTCTTGTCAAAATATTGATTGATTGATTTGATCAGTCTCTATTATAAATTTGACGATTATTTAAATGATCTCATCCTTATCCTCCGAATGGATTTCCTCCAGTTAAAATATTTATGGCTATATATACAAACAATTTGTATGACTAAAAACTTGGCGAGAGTGGCGGAGAGTTTCTTGTCAGTTCTTCTCGCCTGTTCTACGCCCTTGACTTGCGAACTGGTAGTAAATGTAAATTTAGAATCAATCCAACATCTTTTCTGTTTATAAGTGTACTTGGTTACCTATATGAATAAAGTTTGAGTGTATTAAATTATTAAAGAAATCAAATAATTAACGTAAGTATTGCGTGAACGATTTATTACAATATATTAATAAGTTCATGTCTAGATACAATTACATATAAGGTTAAATTAACACAACATTTTAAGACTAGACCGTGTTTGTGACATTGAAATATATAATCAAAAGAATAAATTTAGCACGGTTTTGGTATGGGCGCCGGTACTAAGATGTAGGTTAGAGGCGAAATACTGTTTGCAGTTGCTATTCTTTTAGATTGTATACAATCTATAATATCGCTATATGAGACAAGAGCGTTTGGTGCAAATTCAGGTTTGATCAGTTCTGTGGGTGTGGGAGTCTCTTTACTTGGTTTTTCTTCACTCGTTTTTTCTTCACTTTTTGCTTCAACTGTTTCCGTGTTCTGTGATTCGGTTGTAGTTGTAGTTTCTGTGTTAACTGCTTCAGTGTTGACAGTTTCAGTAATTTCTGCGGGTTCCGTGTTGACAGGTTCTGTGATTTCAACCGAGGATTCTGTTGGCTTTTCTTCGGTCTTAGGGGCTTCTACTAACTGTTCGTTTTTTTTACAAGGCGTCTCTTTGCTTTCTTCAGATTCTTCGGTTGATTCTTTTTTGCTAGGCTCAGGTTCGGGAGCTACAGTTTTGACGATAGCGTTGAATCTAAAATATTAACAAATGCGTTATTAATAAAACTAAGCGGTCAAACTTTTGTATCAACCCGAAACAACTATTGTTTTAACGACGTAATGTAACATTTTTTTTATTAAACTCAAACTAAAAATAACTTTATATATAAACAAGTACACTTATGAACCTCAACAGAACAGATATTATATTGATTGTTAATTTAATACCAGTTAGCGGTGTAGAGCGGGCAAGAAGAACTGGCTAACTAAACTCTCCGCCACTGTCTTTAGTCGCCAAGTTTTGAGTCATATAAATTGTTTGAAATGGAGAAAATCAATCCCAAGGATCATTTAACTAATCGTAAAATTTATAAAAAGAAAGCTTACCCCTTTATATCATCAGCGGTGTAAATAACTTCTCGCAACAAACCGTCAGGTTGTATAAAAGAGTACTGTCCTTGGACGAACAGAACCATCGCTTTGTTCACTCTGGGTCTTTTTATCACCAGTGCCTTCATCATAAACAGCGTATGCATATTGGTAACCGATAGCCGGATCCTGAAAATAAATCTAATTAAAAAAACCGTACAATGAAATAATAAATCATTTTTTTTATCTGCACAAGAACAACTTTTATTATTTAAATTATATTAGAATACATTTAATTAACGAAATTTAAACCTAAAACGATAATGGAATATCCTGCCATTATCGTACTATTCTTAAAAACGAACATCAATTAACATTTTTAAATTAATTTAGCCTTGTAGTTGGTTTTGTACACCTTGCGTTAGATCTTCTCATATTATCTATTAATTAAACTAACGTATAATATTATAATCAAATAAAAAGCTAAATATTTCATACTTACATCAGTATTTGCCAATACAATTGGGACATTAGCGACCGGTGACTTATAAGCTACAATTTGAGCATTAGCCGTGCCTGCTATTGGCGCCAGACCGGAGATTGGCGTGTTTGCAATAACGCAAGGTGACACACATGGACGGGCATTCGATAATGAGACCAATGTTTCTATAGGTGCCGCGGATATTTGAGCAAATTGCGGTCCAGTGTACGATAAAGGACCACCATAGTTTATATATTCCAATGGTATGGCTTCAGAACCACCTCGCACTATGACGTTGGAGAACGAAGCGCATAAAGCACTATGGAATCCAATTAGAAGTAGGAAAGTCTGAAACAAAAAAGGTTTGTACAGTAAACTTGTATTATGTGAATAATGGTACCTAATAAGACTTACATTCAGAGTCATCTTTCTTGCTGATTTGTGGAAGACAACTGATTTTTTTCTTTAGATCCGCCGTCTTATAAGAGATGCTTTGTTTGCTAAAATATGCTGTTCTGTAACACCGAAACCAACCATCAATGTCGCTGAACACATGAATAGAGGTTAACAATCGATATGCTAATAAGCGTTTAACAGCAGCTAAGTTTCCATCTTCGTATTCAGACCACGAAAATCACAAAAACTATTTAAATTGGCGTGAAAATTACTTTTGTTTAAGAGAACGTTTAGTTCCTTAGCAATATTCGGGGAATTCATCATCACATTTATCTAAGTACACGGAAACCTTTCACGTAATTATGTTAATTTTATCAAACGCGTGAGACACTTTGTGCGTGTGCGTTTACAGCATAATACGCTTATTAAGCAAACGGATCACGTAACGAGGGGAGTTAAAGAACGATTCTTATTTAATTTTTGTTTTACTACTGTGGCTTTTTTCAATAAACATAATTATATTTTAAAGATATTCAATGTTTATAATTCACGTCTATTAGTACTCTATTAAGTATTAAGACAAGATCACACTCAGTTTAAACCAAAAAATTTATTCGACGATTAAATATCGACGACGTGTGTCAAACTCGGTTGATCCTGACCTATAAAGAAAAATTATCAGAAGACGGTAGTTATAATAATGCGTATAAAAGAATACTTGTTTTATCAATTAAAGATAATATATTATTATACTATCACCATAATATAGACTGTAAACAATTGAAAACCAAAATGTCTCCGGGTAAAATTGCTCTGGTTTTTATATAAGGAGTATTCAATGCATACTGATTTGACACCTTTATATGATTTTATCTTTCACTGTTTACTGTTGACAAGACATACTCGTAATTTCATTAATATTAACTGTTCTATTTTTTAGTATTCTTTATAAATTATTATTGTCCTCGTAAAGAGCCTTTTATTTCTTCGTAGAAATAATCCTCCTCATGAACGACGAATAATAAGCATTATCTTGAATAGAGAATTTTATTAATATAATATATTACATTTGGTTGGATTATTATATAATAAGAGAAACAAGCCAAAATAAAAAAATTAAAAAAAATAATTCGTTAGAATAGATGCGAGATTCCAAAAGGGATCGAAATGTTTACACATTATCATTTTCATTATAAGTTTAATAAGCTGCGTGAAGTAGATTTGGATGAAATTCATGAAAATTGAATGGATATAACATAAAACAGGATTGATTATGTGTACTGATATTATAATTGTCATTGATTAATCTTAGAAAATCAAGCAACAATTCAGTCAAGTTTTTAATGAACATTAAAAATACGAAATTATAACAGCGTATTTCAGCATAATCTATTTCTTTACTGATCAAGATTGACATAGTATATTTCTGCATTTAATTAAGAATTTACTTAATAGTTTCAAGGGCTAAATGTTAAAACCTGTTTCACTAGAAATTGAACCTTGGTACAGCAGGATAATCTCAAGGTTCCAATTAATCTACCCCGAGGATTCTTATCAGTGGATATTAATATTGACAATATTTTAATTAGTTCCAAGGTTAATTTGTTGAGAACACTCTTCGTTCTAATAGTCAGAGATATAAATACTTTCCGAGAAGAAGTATAATGTATGTAATAATTAAATTTACTTTCATTGACAATGAAGTAACATTATATTTATACTATTTTTTGAAAATTAATCTATACTGTAATGTATATGTATAATATATTGAGGCATAACCATGCCCTAAAAGATTTTAAAGGACTTAAAAAAGTAGGCCCAAAATTCGACATAAAAGTTTTAATAATAAAAAAATACAAAAATATTTTGTAAAATTTATTCGCCGCAGTCTTATAACATAAAGTTCGTTGTGGACTAAAGACTATTTAAAATAAGGTACACGTAATATCACATAGGAGCTCTGCCTCTCGACCCTCACACCACATCAGTGGTACTCAGCATGCACTGGGGCGGTGTTGTGGACTACCGCGTTGAAACTGGAAAGAAAAATATATTATTTCATGCAAAGTGTAATTGTTAGGTGTTGTAGTTTAAATACCGTGGTCACCGTTAGTTTTTACCTTTTTAGCTAGTAATATTACAACGGGCTTTTCTGTCTTTAGTGATTTTTTTAATTGATTTTTTATTTGATTTGATCATTACGTCAAAATTTTATAAGATAAATGCAAATGTAGATCAAGATATTTAATTTGACTTGTGCCACTGTTTTGTTGTATCTATGATATATATATTTGTAACGATAAAACATTTCAAATGTCCTATAAAAGTCGATTTTTATTGATGCTTTAGATTACGCGTATCTATATTATGTTATATGTATCTGTATAGAACGACAAAATCATAATTTTCTTAGTATTAGGTTAGTAATTTGAACTGTATAAAAATATTACCCGTTGTGGTCGTCAGCGGTGTAGGTGACTTTGCGGAAGGAGCCATCGGGTTGCAAGAGAGAGTATTCTCCCTTAACGACGTCACCATCACGGGCCTCGTGCTGTGTCTTGTGGTCACCAGTGTGCGGGTCCGACACGGAGTATGAGTAGTCGTATTTAGGATGGGCCTAAAAGCAGGTTATATATTATTAGACATAAAAAGTAGAATCTATTTAGTGTTCATCACGCATTTCTTTCTCTAATCTGAAAACAACAATTCATCGTTTTAAAAACGTTCAAAAACCCTGGCTGTGCACCAATGGACTTTCTATGTGCGCATTTAACATTCACTCGAACGGTAAAGAAAAACATTATGAGGAAAATCAGCTTGCCTTAGACCCAAAAAGTCGACGGCGTGTGTGCACAGGAGGCCGATCACCTACTTGCCTATTAGATTGACGAATTATCATGGAACAGATTCAGAAATTTGAGGCCACCTAAAAAGGATGCAGCGCTACTGATTTATTTTACTAAAATTTTCAACTATTAACAATTTTGAAACTAGTCAAAAACAAAATCAATAAAAATGTTAATTATTAAATGAGACTTGAAGTAGACATCAACGCGCGCGCGTTTTATCAAAATATTTTATTAAACTGTAGCTGAACAGAATTTGACTTTCAACTAAAAGATTTCGTAAACAAAGATTGCATCGGTATGTCCTGTTGATATAATCACAGCAAACCATCCTCCATTAAAAGTGTCGCGTTTGCGAAACCAAACTTAATTCATATCTGTTATTAAACGCGAGTACTATTTGCAAACGATTTCGTCCATCATGCCAGTCATTATCTCAGTTTCACAATGTCCTGGGAAAACGAGCACAGATATTGGCTCTAGAGTCACGAGTAGGATTAAATCGTTACATAATTATCAAATTATAACTTATGACGCTCTATTTATGACAACCTAAACGCCGTATTAGAACCATTACATTTCCTTTTGTTTTGTAACTGTTATATAATGTTTAAGTTTTGTTCAAAGTAATATAAAGTTATTTTAAATTATTTTAAATTATGTGTAAAATTGTGTGATCTAGCCGTAAGCTAAAAATTAAAACAACTATTTTAATACAACTCGAAACTATTTTGAGACTAACAAAAGAAATTAAATTTAACAACCAGTATGCTATTACATGAAAAAAATTAACATTTAATAATTACATACTTTATGAATGCAACAGGCGATGATTTGCGTGACTTTGTTATGAATAGGCTAAGTAATTCGTACGGACTACGGAGTGAGAACCCGATGACGTAATATTGGTAAAAGTAAAGCTGGATTGTTCACAGATATTTATCCCGGAAGCGACACGTTAATCGGGTAACAACACGTCAGAATTACGCAAGTATCAATTAGTTGCTATTGTATTACGCCATCCACACTTTATGGTGAAACAGGTACAATACAATAAGTTACTTAAATTGCCCAGAAATGGAAATTGTTATCGAATTCTATTTTCGAAATAAGTCTGTTGTTTATAGTATCGGTATTATTTTATTTACATGCTGTGGTAATTGAAAAATGTTAATAAATAATATTATTAATTATTTTCCCTTTTGATCAGGATTATTATAAAAAGAACAATTCTAATTTTAAACCACTTCTACCAAGAGTTTGGTATATTGTTAATTGTATTTTACTTTTAAATACATATTATACTTGTTAGGAACAGGATTTTAACCAGGAGCTACAAATTTTTATAGTCAGTAAAACCTGTAGTTTGTATACATTTTTTAATGTTTCCTTTTGGCGAAGTAGAGCAATTCCATATTGGAGAATTCGTAAAGATTATTTTCCGTATTTGCTAATGTTTATGAAGTGCTAAGTGTTGCAAATGTCCATGACCATAATGTTTATTTAAGTTTTTTCTCAGGAGATTGTGAAACTTCATGCATGCTCTCATTGCGCGGGCGTCCCTCGGTCATTATATTACACCGAAACTAAATTGTGGGTTGAGTTCATTTAATTTCATGTTTGTTAGTTGAGTAACCCATTGTGTGGATTGTATATATTTATTGTGACAGCTGGTGTGCTAAGATAGTGATTGTATTTTGTTATCATATTAAGCATATGCCGAGAATATCTTGATGCACTGAATATGTGTTTTATAATATAATTATATAACTTTTGCTACCAAAACTAACTCACTGTGACTGTTTAGTTTAACAATGTGTTAGACGAAGAATCAAGTTTTGATTCCAAGCTATACAATATTTGTCTAGAAAAAATTTTATAGGCTCAGGATTATGTTCATTTATGCGAATTTGGGGAGGTAATTTCTTTAGAATAGTACATATTAAATTGCCCCTGCTCTGATGAAGGTTTTACTTTTAAAAAGGAAATTGAGATTGAGATAGAGAGGCGATCAACTATATTCTATATTTACGCCTTGTTTTAAGCTCTATATATATAATATTTCACATCCCCAGATAATTGAAATTTTATACAATAACTTCTGCACAATTAATTATATAATATAGTTTCCTTCTGAAACTTCGCTATAAATGCTATACTTACATGATAGTCAACGTGCTGATCATGGCCCTCGTATCCAACGTGTGCGACTGGCGCGTACGCGACAGCCTCGTGGCCGTAGCCCTCGCCGGCATATCCGTGACCAAGATGCACTACACCGGCTGCTGCCACTGCTACCACGGAGAGGATTACTGCGGCCTGCAAAACCAATGGTACATTGAATTTACTCGAACTATATTGCAACGTTTGCAAACAAATCCGTAGTTCTAGAGACGGATTAATAGACCCTTTCGACCCAATATAATATTAGTTTAGATTAGGTTTGAAGTTTTAAACCTGAGAAATCATTTCCATTTTTGTGCTGGCTAACTGGGGTTCTACGCTTTGGTTCCGTTCCAGATTCTACTTATATAAAGTATTGTATAAAATCTTAAGTAGTGTTAGAATTTAATGGATTAAAGAAATAGATTATGTTTTTGTGCTAAAAATAAGCGACGTATATTGTAAAAAAAATATGGAGCAAACAAATAAATAAATAAAAAGATATTAATTAAAATAAACGATATTTTGCCGTTTGTACTCTCGTAATAGACTCAAACTCGATTATACGAAACATGCTCCAATAAAGGTGCCTAGCTATCCTTTCACTTGCAACGGGATAAAACACAAATTCCACTTACTTTTACGAACATTTCGACTGAATAAGGTTTGCTTCGACAGACCGACCACACACGACTGATACCAAGAAGGTGCACCACCGACTTTTATATTATGTTAAGTAGTGAGATGCGGCGGCGTACGCAGCGTCTACGCAAGAACATAGTGATTTGATAATGTGGTAATTACGTAAAATTATAGTACTGCAGTTCAAGGGAATTAACTTGTAAACAATAGAAAATGGAGCATATTTTTCACAAAATAGATTTGATTAAATATTTTTTACTATACAATGCTTTTTAAAAACATTATTTTTGATATTCTAGTGAATTGATTGTTTTTACGTACGACTAACAATTAAAATTACGAAAAACATTTGAAAGCCTTTTTAGGGCCTTATTTATTAAATTCGACAAAGGAGTAGACGTTTGTGTAATATATATATATATATAATATAGATAATTTCTTTATATAATTTAAATTATTTTATATCGCTTGAAATCAAACCCAGGATGGCATTAAAATCAAGCTAAAGCAATTCATCGATATAAATAAATAAATTAGAGGCGCTACCTTTTTAGGTCTGGGCCTCAGATATCTGCATCTTATTCATGATCATTTGCCAATCTAATAGGCAAGAATTTGTTTAGCCTCCTGTACCTGACACACGCCTAAGATTTGTGACGTGGGAAACGTATGGCAAGCCGGTTTCCTCACGATGTTTTCCTTCACCATTCAAGCGAATGTTAAATGCGCCCATAGACAGTAAGTCCCTTGGTACACAGCCGGGGATCGAAGCTACGATCTCAGGGATGAAAGTCGCACGCTGAAGCCATTAGGCCTTCACAGTTCATCGGTAATAACAGACCAAAATGTATTAAAAATTGTATTTTTAGTTTAAATAAAGGAACGCGAAGCTTTAAAAAAGTAATATACTTTCTCTTTTTAATAACACAAGAAGGAAACGATAAGTCTTTGTACATGCATTACCTCATAAAAGCATTTTAAACGTCCCTAATAGGGAAATAAATCACGAAATATCTCGATCACGTCTCTCTCGTTTTCTCTAGTCTGTCTTTTGTTTTACGTGACCAATATGCAGCGACAACTAAGATTCATATCTAAATAAGCAACATTTCTTGGTCAATAGAGCTTAGCTTAGGGTTATGACATCCTGTAACAGAATAGAATCTTGTCCCCAGGAATGGGCATTCTAAGAGGTTTTATTACTATATTTTATTTAATTCGCCGCTCTTTTTGTGCTATTTATGGAACAACCTGTTCCAGACATTTGAATCAGCATATTATCTATTTAATTTTTTTATTAGTGACAAATTACATTCTTTTATAAAACAAATTAACAAAAGTTTGGTCCCTCTGGCAGTATTTAACGCTGGCAGCATTTCCTCGCTGTATTGCTATACTTATTCGTTGAGCGAGGATAGCACCAGCTCTGGTGTTTCCGGGTACTATCTACCAGGCGCCAACTTAAATCTTTAATTAGCGCCTGTGCACTTGAACCCCACGGCCCAACAATCTCAACAAAATCAAAGTTGAAGGAAATACTCTTATATTTGAGCCGTTTATTTTACATTTTAGTATGTCTCAATTTTTTGTATTTAATAAGTAAGACTAGAACTAAGGAAATACGATATAATATATGTATTGTATATGTCGAATAGTCGACTACTAAAATTACTTCTATTGCAAATAAGCGAAACGTATCTCTGAAATATAATCTTAAAAATTAATCAACCATAGCAATATTAAATTTAAGTAACAAATTTTGCTTTACCATATCAATATTAAATCTATAATTTAAACGTAATTGTTTGATTACTTTTAAACAAACAATAAAATAATCATATATCAAAAGATTTCGGATATTTTTCTTAATTCACACTACTTAACACTAGGTATTCATGTGTATTGGGATTGTCTTATTCCACATTGCTTGTGGTTCTGAAAGATTCCATTGATTTAGTAAACATGTAAATAGCAACTCTTTCGGTTATTAACTTCTATCATAGGAGCGCTTTTTGGCTTCACCTTGTCAGTAACTACTTAGCTTGTCCAGTTCAAAGTGGGCAATATAATCCAAGTAGACAAGATTTCTATCATGTTATCATCGTGCCAGATTTATGTTGATCCAAGATTGATTTTAAATCGTATCGTCGTATGTAGCAAATACCATTTTTTTTAAATGAAGTGAAAATGCGCAGGCCCGCGCCATGGATGTCGAGCATGACTCGGGGACTCTGGGGGTGGGTCTACACTCAAACCACTTTGCTATTCAGAGAGGTAGCGTGACCCACCCACTAAAATACCTCAGCCCTTCACACGCTCTAAAGATGAGGCCCTCGGGGTTCGCCAGGCATTCTACCCAAGGGACCCAAGCTTATATCCGACATAAAGAGATCATTCACGACCTGCTGTTCCGGGCCACTCGAGATATAATTAAAGTTTTAACTAACGTAATTATTCAGATTATTGGAGATCGCTTCTTAAAGCCGTCCTTCACCCTGACTTGAATGTTTAATGTCCAGAAAGATGAAACTGCAATTATAATTAAGATAATGTATAATACATCGGCATTTACATGCCGATGTACTTAGGATGATGGTTTTAAGATATACCGGCAGATTTGTATGTAAATTTACAATCCATTTAAGGTCAATCAAGTTCATGGATACTTTTGGATCTATTGTTGAAATAAAAAGCCGATTTTTTTAATGGGACCTGGCAAATGAAGAATTAGATTCTAATGATCTTTGAACTTTGCAAATACTAGTTTTATGGAAGGCTCCTAAGTCTTATCGTTTCAGTTAGCTTTGTTATCAATATTTCATCAACATGACTATTGACTAACACTGGTTAGTAGAAGTATTAGGTATAAATGTTTTTATTACCTGATAGTCTGTACTTCGATTAAAATAAAAAAAACTAATATTGTAAGGTTTTTTATGTATCATACTAATATCTGATACTGTCTCGTTTTTTATTCAATTACCTAAGCCGATGTAAGCCAGCAGTTAATGTAAGCCATGGTCAAAATTTCATTTATAAATTGGAGTAACGCGAAACAATTTTCGTAAATTCAAGAAGTTACGTTACGTAAGTACAGTAATTAGGTATTGTTACACAAGTTCACACATCCGTGAGCGTATTGATTGATGTAATTCTTTAATTTCTGACAATTTATTGGTTCGATTATTATTGTTTAAACAATTTGATGACGATGCTTACAAACGTAAAATTTCGATGTAAATTTTTTTTGCTGTTTCCCAGTAATAGCTGTTTTTTTATTTAATAGAAAGTAAACGGTCAGGAGGCTCACCTGGTGTTAAGTGCTACAGCCGCCCATGGACATTCACATTGCCAGAAGGCACGCAAGTGCGTTGCCGGTCTTTTGAGAATTGGCATACTTTTAAATATATGAGTTTAAATATGTTAGGGAATTGTTAAATTATTGTTTTTTTTGTTAAGTTTTAGTGAAGTTATCTACGATTATTAGTTTAACCAGGTCACAAAGTTCTAAAGAAACGAATTTTTACTGTATTTATTATTAAACGAATAATAAAATTAATTGATTTGTAGGTTTATGTTAGTAAAAAAAATAGAATATTTAGGTCGTCTGACAGAAGTTTAGAGAAATTATAATTTAAATTGAATACGTCGTTGTCAAATTACGAAATATTAATGATTTCGATATTTCCGCTATAAGGTAAATCTTGGTGAAGATGACAAGAAATTAATCATGTAAATTGTACAGAAACCTATTTTCGTAATGACCTTAATTGCTCGGATCTTGATATTTAAGGAGTTGTAACACAAAATGATTTGATTAAGACGCTATTTGGTACTATGAGTATAGGTTTCGATTTGAAATCGTTTCTATATAATGTATCAAAATATGAGTTAACGAATAAGTGCAGGTAAAAATATCGTCTTGAAATCTCTCCATATAAGTTATTTAAGTTAAAAAATGGGAATGCAAAACTTTGAATGCCTACATTATTGGTATGTTGGCAGTTCCTTAACTTACACAGACAGAGAGCAACCCGAAGATTTATGTACTCTTCGTACTAGAGATCAAAACGTGATCGGAGTTAAGAAAATATACATATACGGAAATCAAGAATATATTAAAATACTTGGTCTTTATCTTATCTTTGTCTTGTGTCCCTCATGATGCACCAATTGATTTCTTTCTATATGCCTGATTTGCTTACGTATTAACTGCAAAACAGTTTCTTCCCCTTAATAGAGACTGTAAGTAGTGTTATTTAACATAATATCCTTATTACTAAATTAGGTTAGACTTAAATAACTTATCTTAAGTTAGGCTAGTTCGTAATATTCCATGATGTCTCAGTGATGTCTCATGATGTTTCAGAAAATATTTGGCTATAAATAAATATATATGGGTTAAATTTGGAACGATTTATCTCTAAAAGCGTTCCGGATAGGTAAAAAGTAAATTTACGCACAACTAATTACACAGAAAAAAGATTTAGAAACCTAAAAAGCCCCCTAGACAAAGCAGACACAAAATAAATCTTATATTAATAAACCAATTTTACAGTGCAGCAGCGTAAAATCGAAATCAATTAGGAAGACAGCTACGTGATAGAAATTAATGATTTTTTATCGGATACGGTTACGTCGTGTATTAATTCATATGCGTTGCATAAACAAATATATGCGGCTCGGAAGCTAAGAACAATAGCGAACGAACAATGCGATTGCAGAAGAGCACTTCCGAAGCTGGATTAACATATAGTAATGAGCGGAAGATCCAGTTTGTATAAAAGCTGTCAACAGCAGTTTAACAAACAAACTTTATACTGTTCCTCTCTCCATCGCATAGAATAATTTACAAATTGTACGATCACTTCTCAAATGGTATGTACATATAGTTTGGTTTATTTTGTCTCGTACATATACTCTCATAGATCTGTGTTGGGCTAGTGGCTTCAACTTGCGACTCTCATCCCTGACGGCGTAGGTTCGAACCCGGCTGTGCACCAATGGA